CATTGTGTGGCTGTCAACAAAGTATATGTACAATCACTATTTGATGTAGTTGTCTTTCAAATCAGGTAAGAGAAAAGGTGTTTACAAAATAATACAGTTATGCCGTTTTCTTATTTACCTGCATAGCTATGATTACAAATTCTCCTCATTTTTTTCTTATGTATTCAGGTTACTATCTATAGTTTTCTTTCTTTCAGTGTGAAGGAAGAAATCTCTAACATTTCTTGAAGACAGATTTTCTAGTGACCATTTTTGATTATCTGGGAATGCCTTACTCTTTCCTTCATTTTTAAATGATAGTTTTCCTTAAAGGAGGATTCTTGGTACTTTTATTTTTGTACTTAGAACATGTTAGCATATGTCTTCTGCCCCTGTGTTTTTGGATGAGAACTCAGGTGTTAATTTCATTGAAGATTCCTTCTGTGTTAGTGCCATCTCTGTTGATACTTTGTATTTGGTGAAACACCATCTTTTGTTCCTTACACATTTTCCTTTACCTCTTTGAATATGTTTAAAATGGCTGATGGGGCTAATAAATCCAATGTCCAATCTTCCCTAGGACAGTTCCTATTGAGTGCCTTTTCCTATATGGTCCATTATTCTTGTTTATTTGCATGTATTGTATCATTTTTGTCCAGACTCTCCATTCTAAATCATTCATATACTGTGGGAACACTGGAAATGAGATTCTCACTCCTCCCAGGGATTGTGCCTGTCGCCGTTTCCTGGAGTTACTTGTTTGCTTAGTGACTTTTTTGGGTGAGTTCTGTAATGTGTGTTTTCTTTGTCATGTGTAACCTCAGAGTCTCGTCAGTTGTCTTAGTGGTCTGTTCGTGATTGGACGGTCATCTTTAGAAGTCTGGAAACAAGTCCCCCTGTGTTTGCCAGGGGCTCTGTGTGCCTTCCAAGGCAAACCTTCAGCACTCATCAGCTCTGCTTAGTTCTCACTTACTGCTCTCGTAAACCTTCAGGTCGGCCAGAGAGGAGAACCTACCGGATTCTCAGGCTCTCTCAGAGTACGTGGACGGTTCTGGACTTACCACATCACATTCCTGTGCATTTGGAGCCTTACAGGCCCTCATAGATGTGTCGAAGCTTTACGGAGCCACTATGGACATTTCCTTTTACTCAAAAGCTTTTCTTTTGTTCGCTCCTCTATTGTTTGTCCCAATCGTTATCTGTTGTATCAGGTAACCACAAATCAATTGCCTATGGTTGGTTTCTTTTTGACAATCATGCCTTGGAAAAAAATTTTTTCTGGGAAGACTTTTTGTACTCGTTGAGTTCTGTACCAAGTCAAATTTGAACATCCCTGCAAGTGGAGTCTTCCAATAAACCACCAGATACATCAAATAATGACAGTTCTCTGAAGCTGAGCCTTTCAAAGCAGTGCAGCAGCCCTTTTCTGCTCCCTCTGGTGGCAGCCTGACTGCTGGTTGTCTCCACGATTGTGTGATGTTATTCTTTAAAGTGACCGTGAACCTTGAGGCAGGGATTAGGACAAGTTAAAAAAAAACATGAAGCTACTTCCTACCTCTTACTAAGATTAGGCTGTTTTTCTTTGAATAAGTGCCCCCCAGGTTGCTGCAAGCCTTTAGTTAATTTCCAGAGTTCTAAGAAGGCTGATTTTAACATTTCTTTGGCCAGCTTTCTCACTATACCTTATGGAGGAGAGTTTTCAGGAGTTCCGACTCTGCAGTGCCCACTGATGCCCTGCATATAGGCTGTGTCCTGGGGCATTGGCCTCTTATTTTACATCTTCAGTTTTATTTTTCCTTCAATCTTGTTTATGGTGTCCTTGGCCAAACAATTTTTGTAAAATATGCTGTCAAACACATCAACAGATCTTGTTGGTTTTTTTGGCAAGGTGACATTTTCCTTTGGGCCACGATTGTACAAACAAACTCATTGATTAATTTACAGTGTTTTGTGTTTGCACTTAGATTTTTATTCATTTGAAATTTATTTTTGTTACGATGTGTCAGATGTATGACTACCTTGATATTTTTAAAAATAGAGATTCTATGTTATTCCAATTCCATTCAATGAAATAAATTTTTTTTTCTCAGTGAATTCAGGTACCACTTTAAAAAATAATAGCTCAAACCTATTTATGAGCTCTAGTTTTCCCTCTGGTCTTTATCACAATGCCAGAATAAATACTGCTTTAATATAGTGGTATTACAGGATGTTTTAGGATGTGGTAGCACATTCCAAACATTGTTCTTATTTTTCATAAACCTCTTGGCTAGTCTCACATGCCTTCCATACAAACTTACTTCATGCAGTTCAAAAGGGAATACTTCTTTTTGTTACATTAATTTTTGGATAACTAACTGTATGCCCTATTCTACCTTTGCATGCACATCGTCATTTTTCTGTGAGTCTTGATTTAAGCTTTTAGATAAGAATTTCTGTTTGCTTTATTAAGTCCTCCCTTTGTGTTGTATTTATTCCCAAATATTTTATATTTTTGCCCAAAGTTTTTAAGTAGTCACTATATTTTTTAATTTTTACTGTTATAAATTATGCTATTAATCTTATAGATTACTACTCATAAATAATGCTATTAATTTCCTTATGGTTATATCTATTTTACCAAAATGATTTATTATAGTTTTAAATAATCTCATTTTCCTATGTATTCAGTATATCTTCTAAAGTTGAAGACATATCTGTTCATATTAACTATTATATTAATAACATTTGGTTTTATTACCCAGTTGCCTTTAGCTAAACCTTCACAAAACATGAGTAATATTAGTGGTGATAAAAGATAATCTGTTCTCATTCTTGAGTTCAGTGGGCATATGGTTTATTTTGATAATTTCTGCTCTTATGTTATATTTGGGAAGTTTTTCCTTGTAATAGTTTAAAAATTGTGACAACTAGATAGTGAGTTTTTCTTATGGCTAGTTGGTGGAGTGTTGGCCATCTTGATGTTTTTCTTCCCTTTAATTTGTTGATGTGATGAATTATGGCTTAAATTCCCTATTATCAATTTTTATAACTAAATATTCTTTTATCTTGATGATTCATTTGAGTATTGTTATATCTGATTTGCTATATATTTTTTTTTTTTGAGAGGGCATTTCTCATATTTATTGATCAAATGGTTGTTAACAACAATAAAATTCAGTATAGGGGGGTCAATGCTCAATGTACAATCATTAATCCATCTCAAGCCTAATTCTCGTCAGTCTCCAATCTTCTGAAGCATAACGAACAAGTTCTTACATGGTGAACGAATTCTTACATAGTGAATAAATTCTTACATGGTGAACAGTACAAGGGCATTCATCACAGAAACTTTCGGTTTTGATCATGCAATATGACCTATAAACCATCAGGTCAAATATGAATATTCATTTGATTTTTGTACTTGATTTATATGTTGATCCCACATTTCTCCTATTATTATTATTATTTTTATTTTTAATAAAATGCTGAAGTGGTAGGTAGATGCAAGATAAAGGTAGAAAACATAGTTTAGTGCTGTAAGAAGGCAAATGTAGATGATCAGATGATCAGGTGTGTGCCTATGGACTAAGTATTAATCCAGGCTAGACAAGGGCAGCAAGACATCCACGGATGCAGAAGATTTCTCTCAAAGCAGGGGGGGTGAGGTTCTGAGCCTCACCTCTGTTGATCCCCAAATTCTCACCTGATGGCCCCCCTGCGACTGTGCCTGTCTTAGGTTGTTCCTCCCTTGAGGAATCTTACCCGTCTCTGGCTAACCAGTCATCTTCCGGGGCCATACAGGGAAATGTAAAGTTGGTAAGTGAGAGAGAAGCCATATTGTTTGCAAAGGTTAGCTTTTTACTTCTTTGCAGATTTATGCCCTGTGGCTTCTATGCCCAGCACTTGTCTCGAGGTATCTTTACCACCTGGAGGAATTATGATACTCGGTAAATTCGATATGAGGCACGAATTCTATTTAA